TGACATTTTCTCATGTTTGACAATAAATTAGATTTAATACTCGAAATTAATTGCTTCTATGATTTAGTATATAGCTTATGCGATTAAAAATGGGACATGGTTCAATTTCATGGGAGCGTCTTTTTCTCGTACTTTTAAATCATAATATAGTGAGTGTAACATCCTAAGTTTTGGAAGATTAACTATGAAAGTCCTTAAACTCTATATTTTATCATTTATTTTGTTGAACTAAATGATAATCAAGGAGTAAATAATGAAGAAAAAAAAGAGACGAGTAATGATCTTGAATTGATTAAATTGCCTGAGAATTAGGTGCTAGTTCATTTGTATGAAGTCGATATTCATGCATGATCCAGTCTGACTTTCTGCCTTGTGGCGTTCGGCCTTCATAGAAGACAAGTGTCTTCCTCATTCCAATTACTTTAGAAGACTTAGAAAAAATGGCCTTGTCTCTCCCAGTTGCTTTCCAGAATCCAGAAGCTGTGGCCCTATTTGTGCGAGTTCCGCTTGGATACTTTTTATCCTTATGACTGAAGAAATACCACTCATTTTGCTCCTCGTACCCATGCTTGCATCTATCTGCATAAACAAAGGAAAGAGGTTTGTAGACATATTCTTGTTTAGTACCATACAATATACTTCTAGATAATGAAATTAATATGGAGTATTTGTTAAATTGGGAACTTCTATTGGTATATATTTGACTTGAATTATATGTTATTTTAGAAATATAAAAATGAGGAAATCTTTCACTTCATTTTTTTTTTCTTGTTTAGTGTCATATGTCTATACATGCATACGTTGGAGCTCCATGAAGAGAGTTAGATTCACATGTCTATACATGCCACAATTATTAATAATTAATTTATTTAAAATATTAATATATCAATTACCTTGGAGCTCCCATGGCTCAATTTTATAGAGGTCTATGTCTGTGATAACCTCCATATCAATCCTCTGGCAAAAAATTTTCCTTGTTAGGTAGTAACCCACAAGCTCCTCTTCTGTTGGGTGGAATCTAAAACCTGGAGGGACACAGGACTCCACTTCCATTTGCTGGCCTCTCCTGAGGGTGTGAAGTAAACGCAAACAAATTAGAATGTGCCAAATAATGGTAACATATATGACTTCCAAGCAAAGCAATAGATGTTGTATATTTCACAGTACAAAGTTTGCATTTGAAGTGAAAAGGTTAATAAATTGCCAAATTAGTATTATTAATTCCTAAGAGGCCATGTGGAGTCATTTTTTATTTTATTTTATTTTTTTAATTTTAATTTTATTTTATATTGTTAATGTTTTGATTTGAAATGAACAGAATGATAAGCTAAAAAAGCTTATATTATATTTTTGAAATGCACATAACTTGTAAAATTTAGAAAGCAAAAATAGAAGTGATAATATTTTCATAATAACGGTGGTCATGATAGCTAGCCTGACTAACTTTTTATATAATTAATTTGTAAATTTTAAATAAAGCAGGTTGGGTCTTGTTGACCACTATTCTTATTGCTGCACCCCAACCATTTTCTTATTGTTTTAGTTACCACCTTTTTGCTCGTAGCTATATCCATGTGAATGAGATAGACAGCCATTCAGCAACCACTTTCAAAGTGTTCCGCCATTTTTATTGACTTATGTGTTGCAAGCATGCTCTTGTTTCTTTTACTGCACTTCAGGTTCAAATTGAAGGAAGAAATCACTCAATCAATAAGGGTGAGTTTGGGACAACTTGTGTTTATTCAGATAAAAAATTTATCCTGAAATGTGGCACGCGGGTCGCCCGCGAGATTTGATCCGCGGCTTGCGTTTAGCGAAAAAATCCAACTTTATTTTTGGATAAGCTACTGAAACGTGTTTTCCAAACGGTGAGGTGGCGTTTTCAATGAATAAGAATGAGTTTGAGGCAGCTTGTGTTTATCCAGATGAACAGTTTATCCTGAACTGCGGCCTGTAGATGGCCTGTTTTCAATGAATAAGAATGAGTTTGAGGCAGCTTGTGCTTATCCAGATAAACAGTTTATCCTGAACTGCGGCCTGTAGATGGTCTGTGAGGTTTGACCCGCGGCCCGCGGGTGGCCTGTGAGGTTTGACCCGCGACCTGCGTTTAATGTAAAAATCCAACCGTGTTTTCGAATAAGCTACTTAAACGCGTTTTCCAAACAGTGAGGCAACCCGCCCACACTTATAATCGGGCCCTAAGAAATTAATCATTACAGTAGATCTC